AATTGTAGTGTGTAAAACAATGACATGAAACAGTCATAGTATGTAAAATAATTTTTTTTATGTTTACAATGGATTTGAAGATGACCCTTTAAATCAGGCGAAAATTAATAACGGTGCATTTTAAAAGTAAGAGGCTTTTCGAGCTTTAAAACGAGCCCAGATTTATTGTTGTGCGATTCTTTCCACGAAATCGCAGCCGTTACAATTTTTAGTATCCGAATATTAATGCGAGCCTTTCACAAAGATAGTTTCAACAAAGAAATGGGATAACACTGATCACACTGTCATTCCTCTCATCCCTTTACTTTGATACTTCCGTGTCTCAAATTGGATATCACACGTTCATCTTATCTGTCTATCCATTTTGCTCCGAGACAAAAGTGCTGGCACGTACAAATCGTTCCTTGCCATAGTTTCCCGTCCCTGACACGTGGCCATTTAACACGACGAAATATCCCATATACGACCACCGCCACCATCCACGAATAGTACCATTCTCAAATCGATACAATCGGTTAGATTGATCACCAACACACGAGTTTCCACGCTCTGAGCAATAATATGCTTTGTTACTTGAGCAAGTGGTAGCTGATAACGCGAGCAGAGGGAACTAAAGGGGGAACTAAACGAGCGATTTCACGCTGTTCGTAGAAAAGCCCGACGAAAGGAGAAGGATGCGGGGACTACAGAGGATCCGAAATTGTACCTTGAAGAAGCAGCCCTTGAAAGGCAGCTACCAGAGCTGGACTTGAGGATGTTGGTCGATTTACCACCCGGTTTGGACTACAACGAATGGCTGGCCTCTCACACCCTCGCACTATTCGATCACATCAATCTCATTTACGGAACGATATCCGAGTTCTGCACGATGACGGGCTGTCCCGATATGACCGGTCCTGGCTTAAGGTGCGTATCATCACATAGACTGTAGAGAATCTTAGTTCAAAGGAAATTAATCTGTTGCACTAAATTATTTTCGATGGAAAAGGGCGTAAAGATAGAAAGATAAAGGGACAGTGTAATTGAACACTATAGTAAGGTAAGTACCTCTCAGTGGCCTTGATTCCAGACATGCCACGGTGAGGGGACAAATACCATGTGCATAACATCTGTCGAACGATTTTTAGATGATTCGAAATTCGGCATAAATTGTCAAGTATAAGTAAATTTTCATACAATGAACCGATACCGAGTTTTAACATCAATTTTGAAAAATTGATTTTAGATTAAAACGGTGAGATTTCATGTAATCGTAGGTGCAGATATAAGTATGATTCTTCTCATAAATATTGCTAGTCAGTTGAAAGTCACTACTATGCTTATTATATATATTTATTAGATTCGCTGCTCTGTGAAATTAGTCACAGATGCTCCGTTAAAATATTTCTGCTATTACTCGGTCATAGCTAGAGTTAATTAAAATAAAATAGCTAGAGTTAATTAAACGTGTTATCGCTGACCTTTTTTTTTTTTTTTTTTACCAAAAGATCGATGATAGAAATGGAATCGGATAAAAATAAAACAAATACATTCTCTTCGCGAGAATGTATCTTGACGTTGTAAAAACATAAAACTAACTTACGATCAGTTATTCCATAGTGTTTGTGCCGACATACATAACTATTTTCAAAAAGTGAGAAATTCCGAATATTTTATATTGTTTAAATATTTGAATAGTTTGTGTGTATAGTTGTGTAACAATTTTTATTCATTAAGCTCTGTGTATAGAAATTCTCTATATAATATCATTAATAGTTATATTCACGGATAAGTGTAGTGCCTTGCCCTTATTATCGAGGAAAGGAATTAAAAAGGAAATAATAAAGGAAAACGAAGAAGGATTGATCATTCTCTTGGCCTCGATTTGCCTCCTCATTCTCAATTCTTATCATTTCCTCTGGGCGTTATTACGCACCCATGTAATTCGCTTTCTTATCGTTTCAGAACTTATCTGTGGTTTGACGAGAAAGGGAAGAAAACGAGAGTGGCAGCGCCACAATATATAGATTATGTTATGACTTTTACACAACGCACCGTTAGTGACGAAACTATATTTCCTACGAAATATGGTAAGCTTCTTGTTTCACCTTTGCAACGACGATTAAATAGTCACGACACTGTTAACGTAATTTAATCTACGGATATTTTCTTGCATTTAAACTGCATTTCAACACTTTTTTTTTTCTTTTTTGTATTTAAATAAATACAAAAATTTTGCTTTTGAAATTCTAAACACATTCTCAGAAATGAATAAACAGAATAGAGTGTAAAGCTATATTTATACAATAACGTGCAGTCAAGGGTCGAGCAGTTAGATACCACCTAGCGGTATCAACGTTTCGCTAGATAGGATATACAAACGAAACCATAATTGTATTAATTGGTCGGTTTCCTGGATGTTTCAGCAAATGAATTTCCTAGCTCGTTTGAATCGATAGTGCGTAAGATCCTGCGGCTACTGTACCATGTGGTGGCACACATTTACCACTGCCACTTCAGAGAGGTAGCACTTTTGGGGTTGCACGCTCACCTCAATTGTGTGTTTGCCCACCTCACGCTCCTTAATCAACGCTTCAACCTTATTGATCCCAAGGAAACGGAGATCTTAGGAGACTTAGAGGCTGCCCTCTTGGGTAAGCTTGCCTACCGAGATCGATATTATTATGTAATACGCGGGAACGTTGTATTATCGTAACAGGGATTACCAAGATTTAAGAAGGAAAACCAAAGTGTCGCGCAACATTACGTAGAACAGTTTTTCGGTCAACGTTGATAATCTTGTTTGCAACTGTTGAAAGGGCAGTCACGTCTTTCAATCGACGGATAAAAAGATATATCCTTTTGACAGTTTTATCGAATGGTTGGTTTTCAGTTTTGCAAAGCTTTGTATAGCGTTCGAATATTTTATTTGACGTGGCGGCTATAAAAATGTTCGACGTATAAATTTGCATATATTTTAATCGATATACCTGTTTCTGATGTTATTAATCATCATTTACTAAGGACAATTACGCAATTGCAGGTGACTCGACGTCATCATCAGCGCCTTCATCACAAACCTTAGCCATCCAGGAGACTCCGACCACAGCCACCTAGATCGCAATGCACAGCAAGCAAGAGGTTGCAGTTCCTGAGACTAGGTGACGATAGGCGTTTTGTTTTTTTTTTTTCCTCTCATTCCTTCCCTTCTCTCCTCTTCTCT